CGCCCCGGCCGTCGGGGCACCCCCGCCGCGGGGCAGACGCGCCCCGGTGCCCCCGGCCCCTCCGCGCCCGGACACCCTTTGCCAAAAGCAACCGAGTGAGGATTTACCCTGGGTGACTCCTGTTTTTGAAGCCTTGGCGTCTGGTTTGAACCCCCGCACGACGGGACTGCCACGACACAACATCCACGATACAACGTCCCTGCCGAGTGCTGCAAGGCAAGAAACGCCGCGTTTCTATAGCTCGGCAGGCATCGCTTGCTTTTTAAGCCCTAAATATTTCTGCCGCACTAACAGTTAAAGAGCCACATGAAGAATTTCCTTCGGCAGGAATAATTGACCGTGGATATCCCAGCCGTAGCTGCAAGGAAGGGTACAGAGGGAGCAAACAAGGTCAGATCCTGACGTTGTGCGGCTCTGCCCCGCCGTGCGATGCTCACCGACGCAGCCCAAGGCCTAGTTAGAGCGACAGACAGGGTCACACAAAGACATGCGTGTTTCCAGTGGGACAGGCAGGTCTGTCCGAGGGCTGGCGATCACCGGCATGCCGCGGCGTTACCCGGGGCTTCCCTGTGTCCCCTGAGCGCCTCTACCAACCCACTCGTGAACTCGCGTCTCCCCGCACACAGCCCTTCCCCGCTGCCTTCGACGGCGCTCCCCTTCGTCGCAAAAGCTTAAAACTCACCCAAACCCGACAGCTCCTGTTCAATACCCTTTTCAATTTTTTTTTTTTTTCCCCTGCTCTTTCTTCGCTGGGCACCCGCGAAAAAGCTGCCGGCGGCGGCGGGGCGAGAGGACGGACGCGTCCCTCAGAGGCCAAGCGGCCGGGGGATGCTGCGGGGATGCAGGCGGGGAGCCGCCGGGCGAGCGGTCGCCGCCGGACCCCAGCTCGGGACGGCGAGAGGGAACTGTCATCGGCGGGAAAGTGCTGAATTTGGCCTGGCCGCCGCACGGCCCCGGCCCCGCTCCTCTGCGGGAGGGATGAGGTCCTCGCCCCCCGCGGTGACCGCAGCCAAACGGCCCCGCAAAGGGCAAACCCAGCGAGGCCTGCTTTCGGCAGCTGAGGGGGAGGAAATGTGGTTCTCATGGTCTTCTTAACGGAGAAAGTGGAAGGATTTCTCCATCAATATGCTTTAAAATAAGGACTGGAGGGATTGCCTGTCTGAGGTTTCTCGGTTCCCGGCGAGGTATTTTGATTAGGAGGTTTATTTCTAGTTAAACTTCCACGGCGTGTCTGAGGTGTTATTGCAGTTTCCTCAAGAACTAAACAAAATACCTCGATTTCGAGGTAAAGACGACGGAAAAAACCACCAGCCCGCTACGTGTTAAAGCTTAGGGCACTGCGAGTCAGCTAGTACCGACCGACTGCCCGGAGCGAGGGCTGCTCTCCCGGGAAGGGAAGGCTGGGCTGAAACGCCCGGGACCCAACCGCGCCGCAGGGGAAGGCGGCGGGGCGGAGAGGGAGTTTTGGGAGCCGGGACCCTCCTCCGTGTCCTCGCTCCCCCTCGCATGCGGGACTCCAGCCCCGCGTCTTTGCTGTTCCCCCTCCCCGGGTGCTTTATCCCACCCACCCTTATTTCTGCAGGGCCCCGAGTGTCGCTGAGCTCTCCCACCTGTGTCTGCACCACCGGGGTCCTCAGACATCTTCTCATCCTTCCTCCCCTCGCCCCCAAGGGGTCTGCCCGCTTTTAGGTCAACGGGAGAAGTGCTCGACTTGAGTGTCCTTGCTCAAGTAATGACACTCAGTGGAAGTTTGTCTTGGTCGCAAGCGGGAGGCTGGGGGGTCCAGAACTGCGTCAGGCAAAGGAGCAGACCCGCGGCCCTCAGCGGGAGCAGGACTGGGCTCAGGCGCTCGGCAGGGCTAGGGAAGTCACCACGGACACCCCAGGGCGAAGTCCCCGAACTCAGCAGAACAATAATTGTTAAAGACCTTCGCTGGGTTTGGACATACTGCTGCGAGGAAAGGGTCTTTGAAATTTATTTCCCCAGCAAGACTCTGCCAGGTGTCTGGACTCCAGATCGCTCCGTTTCTGCCAGGTTTGATCGCGGGCTTTTGCCACGTTTTAGATCACTTTCGCACCTTCTCCACTCTGACCTTCACATGCTCACCCTCGTTGTTTGTAGTGAGCTTCCTAAAACAAGCAACAAGACAAAACCATGGCATTTAAGAACTCATAAATAAATTTTCCTGTATGTCTTTGACAAAGATTAGGCTCTTACTATACGTGTCGCTCTAGCCAGCTACAGAGACAACGAATTTGGAAAAAAAAAAATTAAAAATTAACACACTAGATCTCTGTTCTCTGCTAGGATAACCCCGGGGAAAGACAAGCAATGTTTCAGCGACAAAAAGTCAGTTTTCATTGGTAACTTTGCAAGATACGTGCTATTTTATGTCTTAACACACCACCTTAAACCTGGAGATCTCGGAGATCTGCAAGGAAGCAAGACCTGTTCCGCAGAGAGTACTGGTTTTTTATACCTTCT